TGAGCAGAGCCATGTCTGTGCCCAGAATCCAAACCAGCAAAACCCTGGGCCACTGAAGCAGAGCGCATGAACTTAACCACTAGGCCATGGGCCTGGCCCCTCCTTTGAGTAATTTTAATGTAAAATAATACATTCGAGCTACTACACAGATTTGAATAGACTAGAAATCAAATAAAATATATTCCCAGAGGAAGCTTTATCCTCTGTAAAGCGGATTGCAATCTTGTCCCCCAAAATCACATATTAAAAGGAGTTTTGCTGCATTTCATCAAAGAGGAAAATTTTATTACTATAAAGGCATAGGTAATCAATAAACATTAGGTGAGTATAGAAAGTATGGCCTCATCTACTTGAAACTTACCCCTGAGACTGGACCATTGGGTTAGGGGTCAGAAAGTAAAGTTCCTGGCAATAGAAATAATGTATTCCTTATTTGCTGTCTTCTAGTTCTGAAAGTTCTCAGGCCTCCCTAGGCAACGAATCAACAACGAAAATTTTGAATGACTGCTATGAGTAAGTGTAACATAGGAAAGAGAATAACCCAGAAGTATTCAATACGGTATCCCCTTTAGTTGAGGACATGACAGAAAACCTGGAATTTACATAACGATGTCCCAAATCCTATTTCTTTAGTAACTGCCCCACTCTCCTTGTTTGGTCTCTGTACATGTGTATTGCTTCAATCCATTAATAAATGGATTTTGATATTCACAGTTGTATGAGCGTAAGCATTAAGAGAGCACAGGCTCTGGAGCCAGATAACTTTGAATCCTGGTTCTGCCTCTTACAGCTGTGAAGGTTTGAGCAATTCACTCAACCCCTCTGAGCCTCAATTGCCTCACCTATAAGATGTAAGTATTAGTAGTACTTACTTAATAGGGTTAATGGAAAGATAAAATATAAAGCATTTAGAGTAGTACTTAGCATAAATGTTTATTATAATATTATTATTACGGACATAAGAAATATATTTGATCCATGCAAATACACACACACATAACACCTACAAGTTATATTTTGTCATATGTGATGGTTGGATTCAATAAATGTACTGGCCAAGGCAAACAGGTAGGCAGAAAGAATCTTTACTTCAGTCTCAGGGAGTTGAACTTAGAGCTGGTATAGGTCCTCTGGAGAGAGAGAAAATTGAATATGTGTTTTATGTAACTTCTAAGTTCTTCCATTGTTTTATCTTCTTTGCCTCTTTGTTCTTTACTGTATTACTCTTTGTGGCTCAAATAAACAGATGCCAATATAGTCACACAGAGAAATATGAAATAGTGCAACAGAGTCAGGTAAAAACAATAATAATAAAATTGTAGGGGCAATTCGAACTAAAGCTGGAGCTCAAATCTTAAACTCTACCAGTTTGAAATGGAAATGAAGAATTTTATTTTTTTGGCACCTTGGCTGATCATGTTGATCAGATCCACAGAATGATTCAAATTAAGAAGCAAATGAGACCTTAACACATTCCTCTGATACTTAAGAAAATTGAATTAGGATTACATGTAAACAGATTGACAGTTGCTGGACAGAGAGTTGAATATGCCATCTGATTACTCTAATTCTAATATATACATCTATTCGGAAATTATTGCTCTTTTTTTCAATTGCTAAATGTAAAAATCAGATAGCTATTCTATTTTTTATTTTTATTTAATTAATTAATTTTTTTGCCAAGGAAGATTTATCCTGAGCTAACATCTGTTGCCAATCTTCCTTTTTTTCCATGAGGAAGATTTGCCCTGATCTAACATCTGTGCTGATCTTCCTTTACTTTGTATGTGGGTGGCTGCCACAACATGGCTGCCGATGAGTGATGTAGGTCACCATTCGGGAAGTGAACCCAGGCCCTGGAAGTGGAGCACGTGCTGAACTTAACCATAAGCCATGGGGCTGGGTCCTATTCTATTTTTTAAAGTTAAGAGTGGAGAACTGACTTAAATTTGACTGAAAAATGTATAGATTTGACAAAGGGAAGACTCTTAAGACTGTAATTTATGGGGGAAATAGGGATTTTTTTTCTTTTGAATATTTTAAGGTTAGGATTGTTCTCTTGGGATGGGTTAGGTACAAATCACCTTAGAATCATAGAATTTTTTAAAAAGTATATGTAGAAACCAAAAAACATCAAAACCCTGAAATGAATTGATACTGTAGCTGTGGGATATTATCCTTATTCTATATGTCTTACTTCACCAATCCATTTCAAGTAATTTCTAACCATGTGGGGTAAAGAAGGAGATGAGTAGGGGAGGGCAGGGGGCCTATGTCAGGGAAAAAATGATGGTATACCGAAAATCATATTTTGCCACTTATAGATATAACTACCATTTGTCTACAAGCTATTTCTATCAAAGAGTCCACATCAATATCACAGCAAGTGTAGAGGGAATGAATCTGTAGGAAATCCTCACTATCACACTTCAAATCTTTTCCAGGAATGGCCTATCTTTCATCCATTAACACTGCCTTAGGCAAAGGATGTCCTGCGTGAACTGCATATAGATAACAACTCAAGTCTTTAACACTTTGGGTTAGCTTTGTTTTTCATAAAGGTCTTTATAGCTTCTGGCTTCATTTACCTTTCAAAGAAAAACAAATGAGTTGAGAGTATCATTATAGCTAAGGAATTTAAATTCTTTCAGCATTTAAGTGATAGAGGAAGGCCCAAATTGAGATCAATTTTCACTTGGTACCTAGGGCAAGTAAAACTAGTGCTAATGAAAAATGATTCATTCAGAGCTGCCATTACTAGAATTGTTCACTATACCACAAACCAGTGAGAGGAGAAAAATGTGTTAGAAGGTTAATAGTTTTAGAAAGACAGTCCAAAAGTGAAAATTTGAGATAATGTAAAATTTGCTAAATAATCAACGAGCTGTAAGAAATTATTTGCTTTATTATTCTGTTCACTATGTTGACATAATGGCAAACCAAGAAGTTGAAAATAAGAAAATCCAGCTTATCCACTGGTTATGTTAAAAAAAGTATAACTGACTTTTAACATCCTACAGTTCTACCTAAATGATGTCTACATAGTGAGTTTTGACATATCACAGTCACAGCCTAAATAATATCTTTAAAAATAACTGACCAAAAAACAGTTTAAAAATAAGCATTTATTTTTCCTTATTTTGATAAACCTCTGTGTCTATATTCCTTTGTCTTTATCACATATTGATGAATGTATTATAAATAGCGAATTTCAAATTTTAATATAGTTTGATCATTATCAAAGATTATAGTTTGGTTGATTAATATCACATTTTATTAACTGTCTCAGTACAAAGAATTATTTTTGAAATGCGTTTCAAGTCAGGAAGGTATCCATTTCTTAGGTGAATAATTACTCCAAATAAAGACTTTAAAAGCATAAGAAAACAGTGAAAAAAGGATGTTGATAACATAGTTAAGCCATTTACCAATATTTATGAGGAATTTATACTAAGACACATATAACCCAGAACAAAACCAAAAGTATTCCTATTCTTTTGAGTAAAAATCCTTAAAATATGTTTATACCCACAATAGGTGGTATAATATCATTATATCTACAATACTACAGGCTTCAATAAAAACCCAATTTATAAGGTCAGTCATTTTCATTCTTTGTTTTAATAAAGATAGTTCTTAGCTTTCCATTCTTAGCACGTAAAAAACAGGAAGCGGTTGTCTATGTAGCAAATGAACTCATGAGAAAACCCTTGAATATCTTCTCTGCATCCCCAATTTCAAGTCAATAGATTAAGTGTCCACATTGTTTGCAACTAAGTCACAGCTGTCTAAATTGCTTCAGAAATGTTTAGCAGATTGCTGTATAGCAGGATAACACAGTTTGAACCATAGTTTCTTGAATACATCTTGCTGAGAGCTTATCTCATTCAAATGATGAAGGCAGCTGAAGCATGGTATCTGAATCATCCACATTTTGCTCTAATAAACAAGAACTTTAGGAAGCTTTAGTTGTGATAGGCAACACAGTAAAGCAATTGAATGTGGATCTTAGATTTTATACCATTCAAACTGCTTGCGTATGTGTGTGTGGTGATAAGATACTTTAAAAATAAAATTTCATTTGGCAAGAGGCTTACAGTTAAACTGTAAAAGGAATACACAGATGATGTGAATTACCAGCATATAAAAATAAATATGCAAATGACTGTAATAGTCTTTTCCAAAATAGCATCTTTAATAGGAAACCCTTCATAAGAATCTTTATAAAGTGACACATTTTAAAGTCATTTTTATATTTTATAAGTACTTATAACTAGCAGTTCTTATTTTTAATTAGAAAATACACGTCTTCTCAGCAATACCTGAATAAGCTGTATGTATGAGCATGAAGAAAGGGTACATATATACACTTCCATTATAAATAAAAAAATTATTATCAACCAAACAAGTTCTCATCAAGTACTTTCTACTCACAACGAGCTTTACATATACTAGATGCTGTGGAGATTACAGAAGTCTGACATATATATATTTTTCACTCAAGAAGGTCAAAATCTTCTTGGGAAACGTAAGAGTGAATATAACTGGGTCCTAAGGTGTGTGGTTTACAGATAATAGTAAATTGGAAGGACTCCATAAATATTGCCAAATAAGTGAATGACTTGTAAAAGCTATACTTTGTTTTTAATTGATCAGTTTAGAAAATTTAAATTAAATATTTCGGAAAACTTCTATCAATGGCAATGTTGAGAAAAAGGCTTATCCAAATATCTAGCTTGGAATATACGTCCCAGTTATCCATTGCTATGTCTATCTATTGCTCCTCCGACCCCTAGAACAAATAAACAGACCAACCACTTGATTATGCTCACAAATTCTCTGGTTCAGGACTTTGGACAGGGCACAGCAGGGATTGTTTGTCTCTTTCCATGATGTCTGTGGTCTCAAATAGGATGATACCAATAGCTGGTGACTTAAACAGATGGGGGCTGGAAGAGCTGAGACTGGAAGATCTTTTACCAAGATAGTTTTTCACTCACCTGTCTGGAATGATTTGAAGGCTGGGCCCAGCTGGGACTGTTGACCAGAACACCTACATATAGCCTCTCCATGAGGCTTTGCTTTCTCTCAGAATGGTGGCTAGGTTCTAAGAAAACACAAGCTGAGAGGGAGTATTCTAAGACAGCAACCGTTTTAACATAGAAACACTTGCTGTGTCAAAGAATTTATGGTCTTCTTTTTAAAACCAATGCAATCAATGTATTTACTCTAGGCCCTAGAGAATCTGATAGTTACAGATTTGGGGCTTGCATTTTAAAGCCTGAGAAGTAGAACACTTTGCTGACGGCAAAAATCATTGACTAAAAAGTCTATGTGATGAATACTATGAATTATCCATCAAAATCCACCCTGCCCCTCTTCTTTAGTACCAGAGTTGTGGCTTGGCTCATGACTAGTCAGAGGGCACATTACTCAGCCTCATTTGAGGCTGAGACTACATTCTCACAATGGAACGGGAGCAGAAATGATTTGTACTAATCTTGAGCCTGGGCCTTAAGACACAGGACATATGATCACCCATGCTGTCTTTTCCTTCCCACAGGGTAGATCATGGAGTTCCTTGACCCAGCTTCAATCATGCAGTTGAGAATAATGCCATGGTGGATGGTAGGGCAGTAAGGCAGAAAGCACCTGGGGCCCAGGATGGCCTCATGGAGTACAGCCAATCTGATAAATTGGATTGCTGACTTTGTGCAATCCTGTGTATAAGGGAATAACAGATTTTATGTTCTTTTAACCATAGTGTTTGGTGTCTCTGTTACAAAATGTTTAGCTTTACCCTAATTCAGATAGTAGATGCATAATGACGGTAGGGAAAGCCACTTCCCTGTTGTCCACGTACTAAACCCTTTAAAATGTTTAGTATGACCAATATTAAGTTCTTTATACCTACTGATTTTTATCGCCATCTTACAGTTGCAGAAGAGTTTTCCTCCAGAGGAAGCACTAGTAGTAAGATGGTCATGTATTACATAAACTTCTTCATAGCTGTATTCCTTTTTAATTTTGACAAGGATGGCTAAAATTTCTCATGTACCACACTAATGTTTCACTTGAAAAGCTCAGAAGCTTGTAATTATTTTGGCATGCTAGTAGATCTCAAACTCTGGAAGCACAGAGATCACATTCTCGTATTCACACGTAGAGAAACTGTACTAATCTGGAAACACCAGAGGCAGACTTACAGGTTAGAATAGGAGTTCTCAAAGTGCAGCTCAGGGGGTCTGCAAGGTCAAGCCTATTTTCATAATAATATTAAGATGTTACTTGACTTTTTCACTCTTATTCTTCCACAGGTGGAAGGCAGAGTGTCTCAGAGGCCATGTGACATGGGATGAGGTCAGCAGTCTGATGGCTAACGAAATTGTTTGTATATGCTTATGTTTTAAAAATTCTTCAGTTTTAACTTCTAATATAGTACACATCAGAAGATATAACCCTCATAAACAAAAGCTCTTTGGAGTCTTCAATAATTTTTAAGAGTATGAAGGGATCCTGAGGGTTAGAACAAAAAGTTCAACTGCTCAATGGTGGTTAAAACATACTTTCTTTTTCATTATTTCAAATACATAAAATTCAAAATGTTACCATTCATTTGATGATTATGTACCAAGCTAAGAAAATGGCATTTTCTGGTATCCCTCTCAGGAGAACATCGTATATCTTTGGGGGAAATTTCCAAATAACTTGTTTGGAGAAAACAGTTGAGAATCAGAAGGACCTGAGTGCAATCAAACTGTAATAGCCTGGGAAAGGAGCAGGGTTTGCTTGTTAATCTACTGAGGATAGAAAAAGAGGAGCAGACCCAACATCAGGGTAAAAGGCATCATATTTTATCGTGTGATCCCTCTTAAATCTTTGGTACCAAATAAATGAATTCATAAATGCTTGAGGACAGTTGGAGGTAACTAGTCATGGGTTGAGCTTCAGGTCTGTATCAATATTCTCAGAAGCAAGGCACACAGGCAGCGGGGGAGTGTTGCAGGAGTGTTTGTGGAGGAAGACAGAAGCAGGCAAGCATGTTAAACAACCTGTCAGAGAGTCCTAAAAACAGGATAGTGGGAAACAGAGGCCCTTGACTTTAGAGTTGACTAAACTGGGCACTCAAGGCAAGCTTACCTAATTTTCCGAGAGAGAGGGAGTTCCTAGCTGACAGTTATCCTAAAATATTTCTGTAATATATACAGAAATACACACACACACACACACACACACAATATCTACTCATAAGAGATACTATACTAGGCCACATAAAAGACACATGGACCCTCTCTGGTGGCTTTAAGTCTAGCAGGAGAACAAGATTGTACACGATGAATCCACAAAGAAGAAATTTAAGTGCCCAAATAGATGTATCAACAAACTGCTGTGGGAAGGTTCACACTGGGTATAACAAATACTCATTGTTTATAATTTGTACATTTGCTGGTATCAGGATCTTTTGGGAATAATAAGTAGATTGGATAGAGAAGGAGTCATTGGAAGAGGAGACAGCACTAGTTAAACTCTATTGCTGTCCTAACTACTTCAACCCAATAGCCAGGACTGTGGTGTCACTCTTTCTCTGATGGTTCTCACCTTGGCTTAATGTCTTAGGGCTATTTGCTTGAGAATACACACACACACACACACACACACACACACAGACTAACTTAAGCAAAAAGGGAGACTTATTAGGAGAACACAGGAAACCTAAGAACAAACAGACCATAGAGTAGCTTAACTTCCCAAAAGACTGGAGCCAGCAAATGGTAAGACATCAGGAACCAATTTGGCCACATTTCTTCCACCATCCTGGGGCCACACAGTCTCTCACCTCTGTTTCTCTGCACATTACTAGATCCTCCCATCTTTTAAATCTATTGGCTTCTCTCCATTTCCAGTGTCACGACCCTAGTCTAAAGTACTATCCTTTTTTGCCTAGAAAACTGAAATGACCTCCTAATTTTTCTTCCCCAATCCACTCTTGCCCAATTATAATTTGTTGTTCTCCTCAACATGACCAGAATGATTTGTTAAAAATGGAAAATTTATTCAACGGTTTTCCATCGCTCCTAAAAGAAACATCAAAATCTTAAACATGGTGTGGAACTGAATTACTATTCACCCACATTCAGTGCCCTTCATTGTGGTGTCCCTTCTGTTGGAGTATGCCCTGCTTCTTGTTGCTTTCGGGCATGGCAAAGGTTTGGCTGATGAAAAGTGAAAGAAATGTGAGCATATGCTTCAAGAACCAGTGGGCAATTTACCACTTTTCTTATCCTTCTGTCATGACAGTGGCAACATTCCAGATAGAGACTGCTCTGTCAGCCTGAGTCCAGAGTGAAGATGACATGAAGCACAGCCATGGTGGACATGTAGCATGAAAGATAAATAAACCTCATTGTAGGCCACTGAGATTTTTGGAGTCATTTGTTACTCAGCACAACCTAGCCTCTCCTAACTGATACACATGGTCTATAAGCTCTTGCTTATTGCTCCATCTCTTTGCTATAGCCCCAGTGGCCTTTCAGTACTCACATACGATGCTCCCTTTCACTTTAGAACATTTATCTATGTTATTCTCTTTCCTTGGAAAGTTCTTTACACCCTTTTCTGCCCAGTTAACATTTATTCACCAGTGAGATCTCAGCTTAAATGTGAAGTACTCAGGAAAGGATTGCCGGACCTGTATTCAAAGTATCCTGAATTCACCTTCTTTGTCATCATGTCTCTTTAACTAAACTATAGATTCCATGAAGACAGAGACCAGGCATGCCTTGCTAAGCATTATATTCCCAGTGCTTTCCAAACAGCAGCTTTTTCTGCATCTTCGTACACATGGCAGAAAATGGACATTCTAGCCCTAGAACCACAACAACTCCCCACTTTAGGGCCACCAATTGATCAGCATTTCAATGCTCTATTTCCAGACTCTTGGAGACAGAATCTAGTTGGCTAAACTTGAACATGTTCTATTGTGTCCACCCAGTTTCCTGAAAGATCTAGGTTAAGAAGAATTGACATGGCTAGTATGTGGTGATACAATCCAGATATTTTTGAGGTCTTTAACTTCTTACATGGACGTTTGTTAAAAAAAATCTTTCATGGGGCTGGCCCCATGGCCGAGTGGTTAAGTTCGCGCGCTCCGCTGCAGGCGGCCCAGTGTTTCGTTGGTTCAAATCCTGGGCGCGGACATGGCACTGCTCATCAAACCACGCTGAGGCAGTGTCCCACATGCCACAACTAGAAGAACCCACAACGAAGAATACACAACTATGTACCGGGGGGCTTTGGGGAGAAAAAGGAAAAAATAAAATCTTTAAAAAAAAAAAAATCTTTCATCTGTCTTACTATTAATATAAATTAGAACATAACTTGAGGTGAACTGTAGTTAGGATTCCCTAAAAACATTCGCAAATAGGAACTGACTACAGCTCATCTGAATTAACATGATATGGATTTCCATTAAAACTATTTCAAGTGTGCTTCACTCTGATAAGTATGTTCTGTGTCCTATTACTTTTTTTTTTTTCCTGAACAGAGACTGTGAGCTGGATAGTAGTTTTTATCTTTAAACTAATTTACTGTTTAAATCATCACATTTTTCAGATTCTCAAGCTGTTTTTATAATGTCTTGGCCTCCCTTTTGTATTGTACTACTTTCCCCAGCATAACTAATCTCAGATATAACTTCCATAACTTTAAAAACTTTTTGTTTGTTGCTTATATTTACACGTGATCTATAAAATTAAAATTATTACCAGTACTTATTTTAGACTAGAAATATGTAAAGTTTGAAGTATTTTCCTATGGCAAAAAATTTGATGGACTATAATGATTTCAGTTCAGTTGAAATGAGGATTCTATGTTAAAGTACTACGACAGCATGGCATAGGTTAAAACCAGCACGGGATCAGCCATTAGGAGAGTTGGGTTCTAGTCTCCATCTCTGCCACTGGGTAATAATGTTGCCATGCTCCTAATTAGTTAGGTAAATTACGGCTTACTTTCTTCCACCTATGATAAGAGTCAGGGTAGTCATTTTAAGTCTCCTCTAGTTCTAAAGTTCCATGGTGCTAAAATGTGAACATTCTCTCATATCTAAATTTATTTTTAAAAAGAAAGCTCATGGACTGTAATGCTCAGTCCTTACATAGGTAATTTTTAATTCCATCATTATTAAGAACCTACTATGTGCATGCCAGCGATCTCAAACCCATTTTGGAGTAAGGCAAGGCAAAAATAAGCAACATATATCTGCATGCATTTAATGCCACTGAATTGTACACTTAGAATTGTTAAAATGGTACATTTTTGTTATATATATATTTTTATTACACACACAAAACATATATGCATATGTATATATATCTAAATGCAGTGCTTCCCTAACATTCTTTGCCTACCATTTAAAATTGCATTATAGTTGTTTGGACACAAGTCTGTTTCTCCAAAGACCCAATCATTCCAGGGACAAAGACTCTTTCTCAATCCTAGCTGTAACTCCAGGGCCTAGAACACCGTCTGGCTCTTAGTTACCAGGGAGGGCAATTATATCTTGGCTTTTCCAAGTGTTGTTATTTCATATATGTTAATTATCATTTTCAACCAAGGCAATGCATTAAACATATAAACAGTTGTAAAACTTTAAAGTACATACCAGAAAAATTCCTCATCACATATCATGAGTTGGAGCTCAGAAAACACGGTCACAGAACTCTGGACCTTCAATGAATGTTTGTCAAGGTAATGCATGAGAATTGAGAAGACAAAAAGATAAACTTAAGTCCTAGCATCAGTCCAACAGATCTTATGTGGAATGTAAGAGAAATACATACTATTATACCTCTTTAGAAGTATGCCAATTAAGCCCTTCCTCAAGTACCTATCTAACTAAACAACCCCTAGCACTTTCTCCAAGTAGCTTTTGAGAAAGCCATTGTATTTCAGCCTCAAATAATGAAAAGTTAGGCAGCTGCCTAGAATATCCACTCACTGCTCAAACAAAAGCTACCTGTTGGAAACTTTATTGACATTCCTGAATACTAGTGTCATTTTTTAAACCTAAACTTACACGACTTAGCTATATGTTACTAATAGGTTAGCTTGGATGTTCATCACACCAAGGAAAGTTGGCTTTTTTTCCATTCGTGGGCTGATCCCACCCCACCTCCTTCAGTCTACATTCAGTTAAAAACAATTCAGGAGGCCAGCTAATTAAATTCTAAACTCTATATAGACTTCTACTGCCCAAACCACAGTAGTTCAGCGCTTGCGAAAATACACAGCACTTAAAGGCCGTGCTTTACAAGTTGCCAGAGATCGCGAGCTGCTTACATTTCTTGAAAAGTACAGACACACCCCGGTGTAGCCAGCTGTGCCCCTTCCTGGTGGGAAGATGCGCTATGGTGGAGCGAGCAAGAGGCAAGATTAATAGCTTGGGTTGATGGGGGCAGGGGAGTAATCTGTAAGGTTTGAGTCCCGAAACTCTGGTTGGTGGCGGTTAGGAAGCGGCCCGTTTAGGTTAGGCCTAAACTTCGGCAACAGAAGAGAAAGCGGCACTGGGGAAAACAACAGCAGCAGCAGGCTCCCGAACGCTAGCCTTCACGGTGGGGCCCGTAAACGCATCAGGAAAGCGGGCGTGTGTTTTTTTCTTCCTCTTCCCGCCCCCTGAGAGACGCGAGCCCAGTCCTTTCCCCTCGTTTTCACCCCCGCCGGGGCCAACGGCTGCCCCGCCCCCGAGCCGGTCGGAAGCCGCCCCGCCCCCGCGCCGCTCCCGCCCCCGGGGGCCCCTCCGCTCCTCCTCTCCAGGCCGGCGGGAGGCGGTGGCCGCGGCCGTCACGTGTCCTGACAGCCGCCAAGCGAGGCCGCTTTTGCGACGCGGTGACAGCCAAATGGTGCGACAGCAGGAGCTGCCGCCGCGGCCGCAGTGCCCCGCACCGAGAGGCTTAAGGCGGCTCCTGGCGTCGCCCAGAGGGAGCGACTGAGAGAGCAGAGTCCGGAGCGGGCGAGCGGGCGGCGAGGGCGAGCCCGCTACGAGTGCCCTCGCTCCCCGCCGCTCTCCATGAACCGGGTGGAATAAGCCGCGCCTCCAGCAGGGGCTGCGCCTCCATGAAGCTCTAGGTTTTTTTCTTCTCTCCCCGCTCCTCACCCCCCACCCGGCTCCCGTCCCGCCTTCTCCCTTCGCCAGCAGCGGCCGCGTCCAGGTGCGGAGTCCAGAGCGGAGCGCAATGGCGTCCAACCCCGAACGGGCGGAGATCCTGCTCACGGAGCTGCAGGTAAGGCCGCGGCCCGGGCGGGACGCGCCGGCGCCTTGAGCGCGGAAAGTCTGGCGCAGGGTCGCGGGCCGAGCGAAGCCGCTAAGTGCGGAAACTCGGGGATGTCACTCCAGAGCCGCTTCTTTCGGGAGCCGGACCCTCTCCCCGCGCCGGAGCCTGGCCTGCCACCGCTTTGAGCTGACCCTCCCTACCAGCGGGACCCGTCCCTGTGGGCTGCCTGCAGCCGAGTCGGCTCTCCCCGGTGCCGGGAGCGGCCAGCTCCCCGCCCCCTCCCGGGTGTCAGCCGCCCGCGGCCGCCCCTGTCGCCCCCCCCCCCCCCCCCCCCCCCCCCCCGGCCGGCCCCGCCTTTCCCTCGTCCGCCGCTCCTTACCCTCCTTTGAATGACTCTCAGGCTGTTTTCTCGTCCCTCCCCTTCCCCTCGGACTCCGCACAAAGAGCGCCCCCATAACTTCCAGCCCCCAGACAAGTTCTTTTTTTTTTTTTTTTAACGAAAGCGTGTCTCACCAAATGCCTGCTTCGCTTTCACCAGCCCTCTTCAGGTGACTGCATTTCTTTCCTCAAATTTGAGGGCTACCTTTTTTCTTTTTTTACCAAGCGATAGCTATAAGGTCCTCTTCTCAGCTACTCCCAGCTCCTGTCTCAGCTGCTCCCTGCCCGGTCAGATCCGGAAGCTCATATGCTGATGCCTTCAGACTTTCATTTTCCCTCCTGTTTGAACCCCAGAGAAAGAGCTACAGAAGTTGTTTACAAATAAGAAAGCAGTCGACTAAGGGAAAATGTTGTGCACCGAATGCCTGCAGAAGATGAGAACAAAATAGGTCTCTTCATTAGTGAAGTCCATGTCGAGTAGCAATATTATTCTTTCCCATTTCCAGCTAAATATTTGATGATGTAGGCACGATTTTTGTGTTTAGGTCTCTGTGATGTACAAGGATACCTACGCTACCCTGTTGGGTTTATTTTTCATTACTTCGAGGTGTCCTAGAGATGTTTACATCTGGATTAAAATTTCATGCTCGTCTTTTGACTTGAATTTATTTTGGTTTGTTTAAATATAGTCTTCTAGCTACTCAAAGATTGACTTGGGAATTAAAAGAAGAAAAAATACTATACTTAGATTTATTTTTGTGTGTTGGGCAGTTAATTCGTTTTTAAAAGACAATCTACACACTCTGAGGAGTTAATTCTTGATGATGTCAGAATTGAGTATTGCACCTGCTTCTAAATTTTTGGCTGTTTAAATGTCTTTATTGATTGATTGCTGTATCAGCTTGGTTTATTGTGCAGTTAGATGTAAGCTTGAAGGCATTCTTATAACACTTGATATTTCCTCCAAAAAAATGCATATTTCAACACGGTGTAACAATGATCTGTTGAAAATTTGGAATCCTTTGGAAATGCAAAGCTGAATTTTCATATCATTGAACAGTTACTATATAGTATTTTAATTACTCTTCGCCATTTATGAGGAAGTCTTAAAGCATACCACATTTGCTATATGAATGAAATTTATTGTTTTATTAATTTACATGAGCTTTTAAAATGAAGTTTATTTGAGGCACATGGGAAATGCTTTCCATTGCCTAGTCTTGAGATATAAAAAGCATACTTTAATTCTGACTGAGAAAAAAGCCATGAAAATGACAGGAGCATTTTTGTTTGAATGGAGTGGCTTTAGAATTATCAAGTATTTGGCATCCTTATTTGTATTTTATAGAAAGTTGGCATAAAAGACACTTATTTTGGCATGGACCTAAAACTATGGTTTCACATGTATTAAAATATAACATTTTGGGACTTTTAATAAGATCAATTTTGACAAAATCAAGGCGGCAAGTCAAAGTAATTTTAAACATGAGTGTTTAAAAAATGGGACCAA